GTGAACAAGTCATTTTAATGACTCAGCTCTCTCTGCTGTTACCATCACTGCTGAAGAGCCTCCTGGACTGATTGACAGGTGGTGTCATCTTGGTTGAAATCATCATTTGACAACATTCTTGTTTAAATCTGTCAGTTTGACGATCTGCAAAATTTAACCGAAACAAAAAAAAGGAAATGTGTGAGGGGGGGGGGCTAGCAGTTCCTTACAGGACTTCTCTACAACAACAGATTAATGAGTCTCTGTGTTACAGGTTGTAACTTTAGTAAATCCAGAGGCTTTATATTCTAATTCTTGAAAATTTGTTTCTCTCCATCATGCAGTTATGTTTGTATTTCATTTTATTTTTTACCTTTTTTGATTTGCATGCTGATGAGACAGTAAATCCACCCACACACAGTCAGTGAGGACACTGATAGCACATTTCCAACTGTCTGGATAACCGCTGACGCAGGGACAAACGGTTCCATTATTTGTGGAGCATTTAGGTGTTTGCAAATGTATTACACAGCAGAATAATTCCTCAGAAAGAAAGAAAAAAAACTGGAACGAGAAAGAAGACATTAAAATATAACTCATAAATGGTGGGATGTAAAGTTAAAACGTTTGGCCAGCAGATTGAAAACAACCTATCAATTTTTAATCTCAACAAATTGATTCTTTGACATCATTTAATGAGAGTAAAGACTTTCTGCCCTCCTGGCTGGTAAAGTTTAACTGCTCCTCTGATGGCTCTATGAAATATAGTTTAATTATGAACACCTTTGCAGGCAGTTGCCCCAGTGTTGAAACACTTGTTCTGGTGATACGATAGGGCAGAGCTGACAATGAAAGAGACAAAAGGCCCCGAGGTTTCAGGAACAGAGCGACTTTACATGGAGAAAAGGTCATTGTCTGCAGCAGCTAGTTGATATAAGCAGAGACGGCAGAATTAAAGGTGGAAGGATCTATTAAAAAGGACTGGTTCAAGTTTCCTTAAATGTTAATAAAGAAATCAGAAGCAGAAGCCTGTTGATCATCCTTTTTTTTTTTTTTTTTTTTTTTTTTTTTTTTTTGGTGTGATGCAACAATGAAAAACCTAAAGCAGGCATACCCAAAGTCGGTCCTGGAGGGCTGCTGTCCTGCAGGTGTTAGAGGTTTCCCTGGTCCAGCACAGCTGATTTACATATATAGTTGATTAACAGGCTTTTGCTGAACTGAAATAATCAGAATCAGCTGTGCTAAAGCAAAGAAACCTCTAAAAGCTGCAGGACAGCAGACCTGGAGGACCGACTTTTGGGATGTCTGACCTAAAGGGTGCTAGACAGAGTACCCTGAGAAACAGGACTGAGAACTAATGGAGTAAACTATATTTAGCATCTTTCTTTGATTATACATCCCAGTCTGAAAGGGCAGAGATTATGGAGTGAGTTTTAATCCATTATTGTCGGAAGCAAAATATATTTATTAATTGAAATTTTGAATCTTTATTATCAATTATTGTTTTTTAGGGTATAATTTTTCTTTACACTGATTTGATTTTCTTTCAGGTTTTATCTTTTGACACATTTTTCTGATTTTTTTTTTTTCAATGTTTTTGATATAAAAAAAATTTTGTATGTCGCTTATTTAGGTTTAGTTTTATAAATTCCATTCTTTTCATATTGTGTTTTAAAGATTACACTCAATTTCCTTTCAAGAATAATAAAAATTGCTGACCTTTGACCAATAGAAATATGATAATCATCACACCAATAGAAATTAATCTTAGCTTGACAGTGGAGAGGAAAACCCACCCCTAAAAGTAAAGAGAATGAGATCTAAATATAAATTGAAATTGAATTTGTATAACTAATTCCAGAAAAAAGAAATAAAAAAAAGAACATTTGAAAAAAAAATTAATTTGAGAAAACAGCTACTTTACTTCAAAAACAAGACACTCCTTTGACGACTAAAATATTCACATCTTGAACAGAGAGAACGGTTTTTAAAGAGGGCTGACGACAGGCATCTCTGTTTAAAGAGAAAAGCCATCACTGAACGGGGGGGTTTACTGATCATGGCTCAAACATACCGTAAAAAGTTCATTCAAATGTTTTTCAAAATCTCTACCAGTTTCTTATATTGATCTAAGAAAAGACTGCCTTCAACACTCAATTTCAGCTGTGAGATTATTAAGAGGGTTTATTCAACCTACTGTAAGTCAGAGGATGAATTGGATCACATTTTGATCCAAGGACTTTCATATTTCTTATTCTCAATCTTTGGTGTAATAACTGGTTTAACCTGGGTCCTTGAAGAAAAGCTATCGCCAAAATAACCTTTTTATTTGCTAATAAACTGCAGACATGAATGTAGTATGTAGTATTAATGTCCTTTGTATTGTTTTGACAATATACTGTGCATTCGAACAAAATAGAAAATCCTTTTATTGTCCCACAGTGGGGAAATTCTGGAGTTTACAGCAGGATACAAAACAAACCCCACACAAATGTGGACCTTAGGAAAAAGAATAACTTCATAGTGAAGAGTTAAAAGATACACAATAAAATACTGTACTATAAAATGTTTTAACAATATAAAACATATAAAAAATAACCAATATACATCTATGGACATTTTTACAGTGATGGATATTTGAAAATAGCAGCAACATCAGAGATGTGCAAAATGACAGCAGCAGGTTATTTAACCAACTAAGGTAGAATTGTGCAAAATCAAAATAAATGTAACGACTTACTGAGGTTGTTGGGAGAAGTGCTGTTTTTTTTTTCTTGCCTCCAAAAAAGGCAACAATTCTTTTGTTGCCTCCAAAGAGAAGCACAATATCTACCTCCATACATTCCTCCATAGAAAATTGGAATAGTAAGCTGTGACAGCTATAATAATTGTTTTCAAGTTTGCATTTTTTAGCTTAGCATTAACCATTACACGCTGAGCCCTGTGTTGTTTCACGGCGTTGCTGTACGCCGTTCCATACCATTTCTGGTTATTAGACGCTTCTTTAGGGAGACTAAACAAAGTCTGTGACCCCACTGGCAATGTGAATTTATGGTGAAAATGTCAAGGTATCACCAGCATGGAAACGACGTGAAAACCCCTTCGATATGAATCCACCATTAGATCAAATCAGATGCAGTGTTGGTAACATCCTGTTTTCTGTATCTTGTATTCCATAGTTCTCATGTGTTGTTCAGTTTATAAGTATATTCTATTAGCAGGAGGTTGTGACTGGGACATTTCCTGTTGGTGTCCCTGATTTTCAACCCAAACTTTATCTACCATAGAAATGAACGAAGTCTGAATTTTGCTGCAACTGTATTATGTCCTGTTTCATACCAGGATGGAAAGCAGTAGGAAATCACAGACTAAATGAGCGGATGAAAAAGAAGGCTGTCAAAGTGGAGTTAAGCAGAAATAAATCATAGCTGACAGACGGGGATTATAATTCATATCAGAGACATCAATAACATTCTTGTTTCATAAAGGTCACCTGTACTTTCAACTATTTTCCCAAACTTTATTTGTAATAAATTAGCTCAAATGAACACCTTAGCCTTTTCATGTGAAAGACTGATCAATGAGCAAGCTTGTGTAAGAAAAATGGTTGAACCAAACAGAGATCATAAAAACGGGGAACATCTATTAGTGTAAATCCTTATTTCCATCTACTTACTCACAAGTCAATTTCTTGTGTTGACTGGTGCATTCCCTCTTTTTGATGTCAGCTTTTCCTTCTTCCTTTGAAGCATTAGAAAGGCTGTTTTTCTCACAGTGGGGCCTGCAAGGGAAACAAATGAGCAGACATGTCAGGTTTCTTCAGAAACTCAAATTAATCAATAAATCAATCCATCAATCTGACTATCAAGTCCGATAGTCAGATTGTGTTCTTTTCAAGCTTTCAAAAACATCTTTTTTTTTTTTTTTTTTTTTTACATTTTTACTGAATACATTCCTCCTTAGGATGTTTGAAAGTTGTTTTGTGTTCTTAACTTTAGCATATCCTCAAACGTTGGTTTAATTCAAGTGGTTGGGTGATTTTTATGAATGTGACTAGTTTCCTCACACATGCACAGTAGTAGCCATTCAAATTTACCCACTTTCCTTGGTTTGTCCATGGCTCGTCCCCTACAATTGCTTTTTAAACATCAATCTTTGTACTAAAATATTCTGTCATGATTTGGGGACATTAAGGTCTAAATAGAAGCATCATCTCCTGGTCAGACCCCTAATTCAGTGAAAGGGTGGAGTCAGACTAAAAAGATATGCACGCCCAGGAGAAGGCCAGTGGCTTGAAGTTGGAGGGGATTTCGCTTGGAGTTGCAGGGAAGAAAGGCCATTTTGAATGGCTGCTACTGTTGCATACAGGTGGTAATGAGGGGCGATTAGCCTCTCATCACCCCCTCCTGATCGGGAGTCCTATGGTCGGATGAAAATCAAACATGTTTTTAATTCAGTCGGCCCTTGTTAGGTGACTGTGAGCATATCCTGCTGTTGAAGCAGAGCTACAAGCAGATTTACCTCAGCATCACCTAATGTGCATGGTGCAAACAAGGGAATTCTTCCTCTCTGACTTAACGTCCGGATATACGAGTCGGAGCAGTGCTATCTCTTTTCGAAGAAGAGTCCAACATGTGGTTTGTGGACGTACAGTGTGAGGAATGTCAGATCGCATCAGAACATCGGGTCATACAGCTCAAGAACAGATATTGTGAAACCCTTTCAAACCCTGTGGTGGTGTTCTACAGTTTAAGCTGTTCCTGAGTCCAAATGATTGAAAAAAAAGTATCGACCTGCCTTCAATCTGCCAAGTACAGTAGTCAATGGTAATCAAACAAGTTTCAGTCCTGCATTACATTTTTTTCCTTAAATTTGCATTTACAACAAGTGTACTTTACATAAGTAATGAAACAAAATGTTGTCCATAAAGAAGAGAGACTTCGATTCAGACAACTTAGACTAGATACATTTAATATCAATAAAAGAAGTCCTAATGAAGATCCCTGTGTTCTCTTTCTCAGGTCGGAAGTTTGTTATCGCTAATGCCAGAGTGGAGAACTGCGCCATCATCTTCTGCAACGATGGGTTCTGCCACTTGTGTGGCTACACCCGAGCCGAGATCATGCAGAAACCTTGCACGTGCAACTTCCTGTATGGGCCGGACACCAAGAGGCTGGCTATCGCACAGATGGCACAAGCCCTGCTGGGGTCGGAGGAGAGGAAAGTGGAGATCAACCTTTACAGAAAAGACGGTAGGAGAACAAAGAATTATGGGCTTTTTTGGTGGCGATTTTTTAAAATTTTCGTTGATGCACAGCTGTGTGGAAACTCTGGGCCTCACTGATTGGTGCAACGCTTGAGCATTGAAAGCTGAATGTTTAAAAGTTTTTATATGTTTTAGTATAAGGTTTTCCGCTTTGTGTAAATGTCTGATTCTTTTTATTATTGGATTCCACCTCTACTTCGAAACCTTCCAAGAAATCTGTCCTGTATTGCTGCAAACGTGTCAGCTGGATTGGTGCCAAACAACATAATGTTGGTTGGTGCAAACGATAAGTGGCTGCCATCTTGCTCAGGTCACAGATTCCCCATGGCCAGAGCATCTGCTAGACATTTCACCTCTGTAGACAGAAACCAGACCAGCTGGTGGAGACGTAGCAACAAAACCTCTGTGAGGTGAAATTAGGCAACAAGGAAGTGAAAAGAAGTAAAACATTTATGCAAAACACTTGCTTTGATGACCTCTTTTGGATTTGCACCTGCTCTTTGGACATATTTGGTGTTTTTACTGATAATCTGACATATCTGTTGAATGAACTTAGCTTTGTATCAATCTGTAGAAAACACATGGGTTGCCATTTTGCTGCACAGGCTGTTTAAGCCAAAGTGTATCTTTCAAATCGCATAATTGGGAGTAAACATTTAATTTATTAACTCTTACAAGCTGCCAAAAAATACCAGACTAAAGTCATCTTCAATGCATTTACAGTATTAAACTGGAAGGATCTGATTATTCTGAGTGGGTACTGGCTAGAAGTGGTGATGAGATCAGTCAAAAATTTATTTTAAGTTTGTGTTTGCAAAACACCATTTAATCTTACAAAGTACAACCCTTTATCAAATTAAAACAAAACGATACTCCATTAACCATGTCTACCCAGACAACACAACCATTTAAAACACTTTTTTTTTTTTGCTATTGAGGCTGAGCTTTATCTCACTTTGACATTCTTTGTTGGTTAAATTTGGTTTAATATCATTTATCCGTGCAAGTTTGCTTACAGCTTGTAATATCTGTAAATTGAATTAATCTTGATGGTCTGAGTTTAAAGCTTGAGTCGGTGCTGAAGGAGTTGGGCTGCTGCTTAAGGTGTGAGATGTGACGACTGCTGGGCAGCATTCCCGCCTGTGATCTGCAAAAATAAAAGACAAATAAATACAAGTATTTTTTAATAATATTTGATTATTAAGTGTATAATTTTAAATGATTTAAATGAACTTTAATTATTATGCTTTTTTATTTTCTGATATATTTGATATTTGTTTTCTCTTTAAATAATTAAATACCTGCCTCTATAAACATAATTAATTATTTCCTTTTTTCAGTCCATACCCTCTTATTAAACCGTACATTTATTCATTTAACGTTGCATTTTATATTTTCATGGTATATCTGATATTAAACTCAAGTGTTAGAGAACATTTAAATATTTCGTTTACAATTTTACATTTATTGTTTAAAGGTTTTCTACGAATACTGCCACCAGTGGCCAAAACAAAGAACTGCAGCAACTGTAGCTCGCATTTATAATCAACAATCTTTTTTTTTTTTTTTTTTGTGTGCAGTTTTTCACCAAACCTGAAGTTATATCTTTTTTGTCTGAGTTGAGCTGAATGCTGGTCCGAGTATCCAGAAAGTCTGCCTTGAATATCTCGCTTTGATTGTTCACTAGGAAGTACCTATTCAACATGTGCGCACTTGACGTGACATCCACCCAATAGTGCGGGAACTTCACACCCAAAATAAACCAAACAAAATAGGCTACAGGCTTATAGATGCATTGATGCTAAACCACCGGGATGTCAGTCTGATCATCAAAATGTTTCAAAAGCTATTTTAAAGCTATTTTACAGTAAAAAAAAATACATTTCTTACACCTAATTTATTCAAAATATCTTTATGGTTAAGCCAACATTTAAATCATGTATTAGACGCATTGATTAATAAAAAATTATAAGTCATATTTTTATCTAATTTAGTTTAAAAATCTATTGGGACATTTTATTTGTGTATTTCATAAAATCACGGTATATCTAATATTTAAGTAACGTATTTCATAGATAGGAAAATGCTTTTTTCAATAACTTTTATTTACTTTTTTTGAATATCATTTATTTGTTAATTTGATAATTTATTATAATCTTAAATTGAATTAAGTAATATACAAATTAATAAAATATTTTTTTGTTTTTTATTATTTGATTGATACTTTTAAATATAGTTTTATTATTTAAGGGGAAATATTTTGTAATTGCTGTGATTATGAAATTGTGCATTTCATAATTGAAATCGTATTGCAAATATTTGAATCGTGTTTAACATAAGTACATCTTAATTAGGCTGCAACTAATAATTATTTTGCAAATTGATCAATCTGTTTATTTTTTCGATTAGTTGATTAAAAATTTAATAAAACAATGTTGCTTGAAAAATATTTTTAACGTTTTTTTTTCATCTTAAATGCTAAATTTTTATATAATAAAAAAAAACTTGGTATTTTTGCTAGTGTAAATGGGTTGCTCAGCTAAAGGCATGTTGTGGAGTCTCTATACTCTAGTTATTGATAAATATATCATTATATACTATATAATTTATAACAATTATTGGAATAATCAATTTATAATTATGGTTAATCAGGATTAATAGTTTCAGCTCTAAATCTTATATTAATTATTTTATGGTACATTTAATTATTTCATAGGAAATTCACTTTTACATATTTCAAGATTGGCCCTCTATATACTCTACCTCATGGATTACATCACAGTGATTGTGAAAACTATCTCACGACTTCCCTGTTGGTGTTTTGTGATCCTCTGAGGGATCTCGAGCCTCACTTTGGGAACCACTGCTTTATATGACATCTTCTTACTGCTTACTCAGACTCTGTTATACATACCAAACACACACACAAATTGTCGTCTTGCTACATGTAGTGAGGACCATGTGTTGACTTCTATGGATTCTTGCCGATTGTTTACTTTTTCTACACCCTAACCCCGACAGTAGCTGTAAACCTAACGCATTCCCCATGCTAAACTTAATCTAAACAAATTCAAACCTTAGACCCAAACATGCAAATCAGCAAAATACAAAACAAAGGGCAAAAAAAAAAAAAAATTCCTCTTTGTTACAAACTGTCCTCAATTTGATGGTGAAATTGGGGAAAACGGTCCTCACTGCGATGCCAAGACAGGATCACACACACACATGCGGTCTTATATAACCTCAGAGGCCACCTTTAGGCCCTCAGAGACCAGCTGATTGAACGTTGTAGACACGCCTCATCCATAATGCACACAGAGGAGAAACACTATGCCACGTCCTCTTGTCCCTTTTACCTTCCTAATGTTTGCTGTTTCTCTGGCCTCTGCTTGCTGCAGCAAAAATAAAAGCAAGTTAAGAAAAACTTTCAAGGCAACCAAAACTTTATAGAAGTGTGTGTGTTTTGTATTTGTTACTTGTTGGGACCATTTCTGAACATTTGCTACATCAATGAGGACCCACCAGTCCTTCTGGGGACCAAAGCCTCATCATTAGGAAAAGTATTGATTTTGGATTCGGTTTAGGTTAGATTTATTGTTAGAAAACGATCGAGTAAGTTTAGATACCATGTTGTCATGGCAAACGGGTACAACAGATGCATACAAGTGATAAACAAAAAGATTTCAACTAAAATGCTGCATACACACAGGAGCTTTTATTATCTCATTTATCTAGTGCCAGGTCTGGGCATGAGCCTTGGTGGTGATAGATTTTCTTTCCTGCTGCTACGCTCAGCTGTCCAAGTCTTGTTGCTCACCAGGTTAATCAGTCATGCTATCCAAGTATAATGCAGCAGGGAGAATGCTCACATTTGTTGCGAGTGAGGTTACCGCTCAACTGTTGTTAGTTACTGGTAAACGTTTGAAAGCCATTGTTCTTGAGTTTTTCTCTTAGTTTAAGATAACAGCAATGTCCTAAACTGTTGTGGTTCTCCCCTTTTGGGACTCAGAGTTTTTAGTTTTCAGTTATAAGTTATTCTGTTTTTTATTTTTACATTATATTCAAGCAGTCTTTAGTTGCTCTCTGTTGCCCCCTTGTGCTCGTTTCCTTTCCCCTTTGCTTCCTTCTAATTAGTTCCATTCACACCTGCTCCCTATTCAGCTCATTAGCCATCCTTTGCTCGGTTCCCCTTATATACACCACCTCTGCAGTTACTCAGTGCTGGTTCCTTCTTCTTGTTTTTGCTGTTTCCTCATCTCTGGCCCCTCACGTGAGTTTTCCCCTTAAGTTTTCTGTTATTTTGCTTCCTTGTTTTTTTTGTGTACTTGGGATTTTTGCCTCAGTTGCTTTATTAAATCTTCAATACTTGCCTCTGTCTCCTTATCTCTGCATTTGGGTCCTCAAAATCCTCCACTCAACCGGGACATAAACTACTATTTGACATATACAATCCTTTTAAACTTTCTTGAAAATCATTGTTACGTTCAAAATTGCAGGTTTAGTAAAAAGAAACTGAGTCCGCACAGAATAGGGATTTTTAGCTCCTGCAGGAGGAGAGAGCCACGTTCAGCCACATCTGCTCTCTGGTGGGTGTCCTCAGCAGAAGCCTTTTATTAGCAGATCATAACACATGGGGTGGGTTACAGAATAGTGTCTGACAAGGCAATTGATCAGGTCATAGAACAAAATGCTCCTCTTGAATGAATCACAGAATAGAGCGGTCTCCCGATAACTGTGATTATCCTTGCACTAACCTCAGCAGTTTCTACCAAAGTTGCATGATAGTAAACAGTAAACCGAGTTAAGCATCTCATTTTTTATAGTTCCATATGCACATGCATTAATTTCATAATCATCATCGAATAAAGCTGACAATCATTTTAATAATTTTAGGACCAAAAACAAATTTTTCTATTTATTTGGACCCATTTTTCCCACCAGGATACCCACAAAGTTGTAACTTGGGTTTATGCCACGTCAAGGGCT